TTAGCAGACCATGTTTGTCCAATAATGTCATCTTTCCTGTATCCATCAGCTAGTGAGACAACACGGGAGGGCTCCTGACTTCAAGGGCTGACTATTCTCTCCTATTGCTCTAATCAAAAGGGTGTCTGCAAAAGGAATGAACAGTGACAGAGACTCTTACTGCTCTATCCCTCTCATCAGCTTCCTTAGGCATAACTAGGAATGATTAAAGGAATGAAGAACATATTAAGATTTGGGACAAAAGGAACAGGACATTTCTCTGGCCCCTTTATTCTGCCGACCTTCCAGCGCAGCAAAGATGGTTGGCTATTTTTCCCTCAGAAGAGTTCAGAGAGCAATAATGTTTCAAGGCTGAAGCACTGAATTGAAAGTAAAGAACCCAGCTGTGTTGGTGACACATTGCCTGATCCTTCAGTTGCTTTCATCCCTCTGTTCACCTCTGAAATTAGGTTAATTTTTATCTTTCTTGTAGAGCATTAAGATCAGTGGGTGAGGATTTCTCTAAAAGAGCAAAGTATGATTATTATTACTGCTCTTGGCACATAAAAACAAAATCACTAATATTAGATATAGGTACTTTACAGGACAAGTGATGATTTTTTTATTAGGACTTTTCTGACCCATATTTCTAAAACATGTAATATACTCTAAATGTGTAATTTCATTATAGACTGGCAATGCTCCTCTCGAAGCTCTCAAGTCTGCTGGATAAATAATAGCCCTTCGGTAGAAGTTTTTAAGCATTCACTAGTGCAATTCCACTAAGTACACCCTGTTGGTCTCCAAAGTACTTGACATGTTTTTAAGAAACCTTCCTTACTCTCATGATCTCAATATGATAACACATTGAAGAAACAATCAAAGGCTTTGATTCAGATAATGGTCTCTTTATTACCTTTCAGAAACTCTTTCAGTAACACTGGGGTAACTGAAAAGATGACTATCTATCTGACTCAACCACTTAAAAGTATAAAATTAGTGGTAGTGTTTCATCCTTTATCTTTTTCAAGCTTGTTTTCATATTTATATTTCAAAACCTTTATGTTCAGCCACAGTCAGTTAAGTCAACATAGGGTTCTGAGCTAATGCAGAGATAACAGTACACTTCATTTTAGCAATGAAAACTTGAATATTCTTGCTTTTGTCAATCTGGATCACAGCTTCACATGGTAGCTATTTAATGTAATTACAATAATTTTGCACTACTTTAAAATTTCAAACAAGCAACAATCGTTGTAATTTACCTAACTACACTCTCTTATTAATTATTTTTTTTTAAATTACTATAATCCAGACTGCTGGGGGGTTATCAGAATTGTGTAGCATGTGGTTGCAATTTGTGTTAACGTAACCATGCCAGCTTTGAAACAGGTAGATCCTGTAGTGCAGAAACAGCTACAACACGGGCTCCACCAGGACCTGCAGAAGTACTGAATGGTGGTGTCCCTTGTCATTCCATCCATGCTTTTCTCTATCCCAGAGTGAGCTAGGATAAAGCACCACACATGAAGTATCCTGTAAATGAACCTTTTAATCAACTGTGGCATAGCAGCCTGAAATGCTTGAATTTGCAAGAATGCTGGTACATATTTTTGTAAAAAAATACGACATCTAGAGCCACAAGACGTTCAACACCGTGCCATAAGTACAGTCAAAAGCATTTGTATTTTATTTAAAGAA